AAATAAAAATTTTTAATAACTTTTTAATAAATTTTTAATAAATTGTTAATAACTTTTTAATTTTTAATAAAAACTTTTTAATAATTTTTAATAAAAAAGAAACATATAAAATAATATGAAAAGTATAATTTTTAAACAATTATTATATACAATTAATAATTTATTGTTGATTTTTCTGAAAAATCAATTTCTATTAAAAAAAATTAAATAAAATAAATATAAAAAAAAATTTATTAATAGTATATGAAAATATATATGTATTCAATTGCGTAATCACATTTAAAACTTAAATCTAATAGAGTTTTATTTATATGTAACTGTACAAGTAACCGTATAAAGAGATATGTATGCGTTTCTGATAATTGTTTATAATTACGTAATCTAGAAAATTAATGATATAATCATATCTATATTACTATATAATTATCTGCGTTTTTTGGGGCTAATAGCTTAAAGACATTTTGTACTTATTGAATATAGAAATGAATGAGTTAAATATTGTAATAAACATAGTACAAATTCAGAGAGTTACAGCTATGTATGTACACACATTTTTTTATGTTTGAATTTTATTGATATTATCTTTAGATTGAAAATTGCCTAGTCAGCCACGTCATCTACGATTAAATTCATCGCAACCAAGTGATTGTCGACTACAATCTATGTCATTAGTTTTCGTAATAGTTAGTCATCTGCAACGTATTTGCTAACATTCTTTACATTTTATTCCATACTATGTTATCACAAAACTTACTAGTTCGAACCGGAAATATACTTAATTTAAATGAAGCAAAAACAAAAGCAAGTCAAAATCCCACAGATGAGGTCAGTTTTCAAATTTTCAATGATAAAATTTGTAAATAAAATTTCATTTATGCCAATATCGAAATCATAATTCTGGAGGTTATGTTTCTTATAAAATTGAAAACCTTAAAATATTCATAAGAAACTATGATTTATTTTTATTTTTCAGCTAATTGAAACACTAAAAATTGTACTTCGAGACAATGAAGGGACTGGTGAAAATCCAATTATTGTATGATTACTATTTATTAATTTTTCAAAATTTCTAAAAAAAAATATATTTTAAAACTTATTTATTTTCAGATTGAAGGTATAGAAGATAATGCCTTGAAAGATATCAATAGAGAAGATGTTAAGATAACTGTAAAAGTATTTATTTCATCACCTGATGTAAACTTATTAAAAGAAGCTATAGATCAAGGTATAATATATTATTAATTATATGTATTTATATAATTATATTATATTTTTTTTTTCAGTTTGTAATTCCTTAAATATAAATGCAATTGAATCTTTAGTAATTGCTTATTCAGGAAAGGAAAATTCAGAAGATATATTATCATCATTAAAACATTTATGGACTGGAGTAGAAGAATATGTGAAAATTGGCAAACTATCAAGTGTTGGTCTTAGTGATGTCAACACAAATGAATTTATAGATTTATTTCAATGGGCAAATGTAAAATTATATTTATTTTTTATTGTATTTTATTATATCTATTTTATATTATTTTTATTAAAACAGGTAAAACCAAATATTGTACAAATTAGTTTAGCTACATGTTGTATTGTACCACCAGCATTGCAAACATTCACTAAAGAAAATGATGTACAATTATTAACACATAATGATCCTGGACGTAAGTATATTTGTATATAATAATAAAGTAAGTAATGCATAATTCTATAATTTATTCATTACAGAAATTTTACCTCAAGAAGATTTAAATGGAATATTCAATGCTAATACAAATGTATATTGGGTTACAAGGTATCAAATTCATCTAAAATGTCGTGGTATTTTATCTTCAAAAGGTTATTTAATATATGTTAATAAACAAACAACATAATATTATATTTTTAATAATATGAAAAAAATAATTTAAACGATGATAGAATTTACAATTTACAATGATATTATATTAAATCTTAGTTTATTATATATACACATTTGTGTTCCACTCATTACTGTACATGTAAAGAGATCTTATATTTACAGTATATATCAAGATTGTTAATCTAATTCACAAATTTTTAATTTTACATTAATAAACCAATGCTTATATATCATATGAGATTTATCTATTTATATTTGTAGAAATAAATATATAGTTTAGCATAATTAATGTATTTTATAATATTCCTCTATTTAATTTATTTTCATAAATTTTTAATAATTTTCTAACATTTTTAATTGTTTAAAATTTTTTTATATATATATATTATATTATATATTATATATATATTATATATATATTATATATATTATATATATTATAATATATCATATAAATATATATATAGAATTTTAGATGTAAGTTTTCCAGTAGCTAAAAGTAAATGCAAAATTATAAAATGGCATGAAAATTACAAATAGCATTAGACAAATGCGTTTGAAATCCGAGTAAAATGTTTCTTGAATAAAAATATTAACTTTCAAAAAAAAAAAAAAAAAAAAAAATTTTAATATACGATATTTCATTTAAAAAATAAAAAATAAATTTTCAAATATTCTTCATTTGTTAATAATTAACATGCATGAAATATGTAAATTATAATAAATATTAAGTATATTTAATTTTTATATTTATTTTAATCATATATATAAAAATCTTATTTATCAAATTATATAAAATTCAAAATCAAATATTTTTTAAAATTGAAATACAAACTTTCAATAATATTTTATTTAAATATTTTTATATATTATTATTTATATATTATTTTATGTAATAAATGAATATTTCAATTGAAAAATATTTGTATTGCAGAAATACTATTATTAAAATTAATTAACAAAAAATTTAAAATAAGTATAAGAAATATAATCAATACAAAATACAAAAATAAATAGATAAGAATTTTCTTTATTTAAAATTTTTTTTTAATCACGTTTAGAACCATTGCTAGCAGTAGCCGATCGGGAGTCCACTAGGCAGTGAGGACACAAGAAATCCTTCGTTTTATATGTGTGTCCCACCTTCGTCGTCGTAGCCGCCACCGCCACTGCCGCCGCCGCCGCCGCCGGCGCGGTCGTCGTCGTCGCAGGCCAGCTCGATATATGCGGGCCGATTTTTCGTTTTGCCACCAGCTTGCTGCTGCTTTGGATCTTTCCCTTTCCTGCGCGTTCTGTTACTCTGCTCCCGCTCTGTGGACCCTTTTGCGTTGAGCCGCACCGCGTG